CGCCCTGTCCGCGCTCCTCTCGCCGAACGCCAGGACCGCGGCGGTGCGCGCGCCTGCGGGGACACGCGGGCCGGGACCTCAGTCTCCCCAGAGGCACACACCGCCTTGCCTCTGACTGCCGTTAGCGCAGCTACGGGGCTCCCCCTGCGCTTGGGGGTGCCTCCCCACCTCGGGAAGGAAAAAATGGGGGCCCTAGTTCTCCTGCTCGGGGGTCAGTCAGCCTCCTACTTCCAGTCCACAATAAGGGAACCTGGAGATGTGACAAGGTCTTACTCCGGGCTCATTCTGCAAATATTGTCACTGTGGGCTCCCGTGTTTGGAGGTCACAAGAGCCCCATTCTCCCCCCCCACACACACACACCTCCAACTTCCCAGGCCCAGCGCCCACACTCACGCCTCTGGGGGGGTCTCCTCCGAGAGGCCTCTCTTTGGCCTACCCAGACCGGGTCCCGCAGCCGTGCAGCAAGGATCCCATTTGGGGGCCCCAGTGCCAGATGGCCAAATTGCTGCTCGCAGGACTCCTGGGCCTGCCACCAGCTCAGCTGCTGTCCTGGGAACTTGCACACCCCATCCGCAGTCTCCGCCAGCTCTCCAGGGGCCAGTGGGGCTGGAGGGCAATAGGAGAGAGCATGAAGGAGAGTATTTTGTGGGCATCTGACCCTTCCAGGGGTGAGCAAGGCCAAGGAACTGGGCTTGGAATCATTCGCGCCGGGATGGGGTCGAACCCTGGGCATGCTCTATGACCTGGTGAGTCCTGAACGCTTTCCAAGCCTGGTTTGACATCTGTACAATGGCAGGAATGAGGTGGACATGAGTGAAGCTTTTGACATGGGGCCTGGTATGGTAGGGGCTGAAGCAAATGTCATTTCTTTCTTTTACCTTCTAGGCCAGTGCACCCTGTGGACCACGGGCTGGCTGAGCTGGGGGTCGGGGGAGTCTGCGTGGGGAGATCCCTCATACCAACCTGTGGCCCAAGGGTTCCTTGATTCATCTGGGGAGTTGGAGGAGGCCCCAGGGAGGCTCTTGATCTGAAAGAGAAGACAGGTGGGGGCTCAGACAAGTGCCCTCCCCTTGTGTGCAGTTATTGAATGCCTACTGTGTGCTCTAGAGGGTGCCGTGGAAACTGCAGGCTCTGCAGTCAGACTTAGATTCAAATCCCACCCAGAGTGTGATCTTGGGCAGGTCTGTTCACTGCCCTGAGCCCGTTACTCCCTTGTGAGGAATAAATAAGCCGATGGATGAATGAATGCAGTAGGTGGAGCACCTAGCCGGTGTCTTTAGTCTGTTTCTGTGGGGGGCTTGTCTCGTGTAACCTTTTCAGTGACCTCATGATGGGGGGTGGCCACTTGAAATCCTAGCAGCTTGAGTCCCCTTGGTCTCTCCTGCACCCGCTCCCAGAAGCGCAGTTACCAGGAGGCAGAGGAGGCAGCAGCACCAGAGGGCCATTCTGGATCCAACAGGGCCAGGTGAGGAGCAGCCGGGGACACAGGTCTGGTTAATATGGACTGAGGAAGAAGAAAACAGGAAAGCAGCTCCTGCCTTGCAGGGTCACCTTGCCCTTTGTTTGGTTCCCAGACACCACTGGGCTGAGAGCCCAGGATGGGGTGGCCAACCCACTAGGGATGACATTTACTTACACAAAGGGATGGTCTCCAGGAGCCCCTTCAAGACCGAAGCTGGGAAACACTGTAGCCCTGGTGAGCTGGGAAGAGGGGAGGGCGGCAGCAATCCGCTGGCCAGAGAGGGTGGAAACAGAGCTCAGGGTCCCTGCAGGGATAAGAGGGAGCTTGGAGCCTATGGGCTTCCTTGTGTTCTCTGGGGTTAGCAGCTTGACATTCAAGACTGTTTAGTTGGGCCTCATATGTCCCACCATTCCCCCAGGCAGCCACCTTCCCCCTGCGCCCCAAATCACATTCATTTCCACCTGTCCCGGGCGGCATCCCTTCTCCAGACCTTTGACTGTGCTGTTCCTGCTGCCTGGACTGGCCTCCCAGTCTCTCAGTGGCACCTCCTTCAAGGTCAACTTGTGAGCACTTCGTTCACCCAAGACTGATGGTGGGTCTGCCACAGCCAGGTGCTGGACTAAGCTAGGGATACCCTAATCCTGGGTAATTTGGGGATCACTCCTGGCAAATAGGCTGAGGCACTACAAGTGGGGAGAGCCTCCTGGGTCTCTTCTCCAGCCCTGGCCATGCACAAATGGATCTCAGAAAACACTGTCCTGCCAGCCGACCTTATGCTACCTGGGCGTCTGCAGCCAACACCCGTGGCCATTCATACCCTTTTCCTTCTTCCAGATAAAGCATGAAAATCAAACTCGCCCCAGCACGGGAGGACTCAGACGGCCACGCTTTTTGGATTCTGAAAAGCACCAATTTATTGTTATTTTTTTTTCTCTTGTAAACAGCACCTACGTCCACCCGCTCCCCACCCACAGCCCCAGGCGGGTGGGGAATTGCAGGGATCTGGTCGGGGCCACGGCGCGGTGCCAGGCTCTGTAAATGCCGACCCCTCAGCCCCTGTCCGCACTTGCCAATATCTGCCCCCTCAACCCCCTGGCGCCCACCTTCCCGGCTCACCAAACACTCGCTGGCCCCCGAGAGAGAGAGACGCGAAGTTCAGCCGCCACTGCGCGTCCCCCTTGCGCGAAGGGCCAGTGGGGATCCCTCCCAGGCCGATGGGCCTGCGTCGGGGGCCTCCCCTTCACCCGCTGGTTCCTCCCTTGTCCCCGGCCCCGGGTCCTCACCCGCTTCGCCTGGCCTGGCGCCTGTGGCTGGTTCACCGTCTGCGAGGTGCCTGCGGGGACCGGTGTCGCGGGGGCAGCGGCCGGCTCCGCCCCTCCCAGCCCCGCGGTCCGGCCCAGCCGCGGGCGCGCCCTCCCGGGAGACCCGCCTCCAGGAGGGTGGGAGGGGACCTTCAGTCGCAGGACGGGGCCTGCTGTCACTACACCATACCCCCAACACACGGGTAAAGTCACCCTGTTAGAAGGGGCCACTCTGCGAGACTGGGATCCAAAATGAACTTGTGGAAGCAGAGGGTCCTTGGGCTTCCCAGTCCCGTAGGAGGCCAGGATGAGGGGGCGTGGGGAGCGCACAGTGCTCGGCCTGCACGTGCCGGAGCTGGCTCCCTGCAGGCCTCATCCCCTTTACTTCCCACGCACTGTGAGAAGGGGCTGCCATACCCATTTCCAGACGAGGACGGTGGCAGGGCCCGCCCTTGAACTTGGGTGTCTGGGTCTTCATCCAGGCCACTGGAAAGGTAAGGTAGGGAGGGGAGAGAGGCCCTGTCTGGGGGGAGGGAACAGGGCCAGGCCAGGGGTGCAGAGGGAGGCCAAGGGGTTGGGGATGCAGAGGGGAAGGGTGCAGGAGGGACTGGGGACACACCTTCCTGGCCTTAGTAGTGGGGATTCCTGATTCCGAGGTGAGTGACCCCAGATCCTTGGCCCCAGACAGATCCAAGTTCATGTTAACTCTGACCTGAAGCACATTATCTAATTCCTCTGAGCCTCAGTTTCCCCATCTGTAAGGTGTGGATGATAAGTAGTACATAACTCAGGGGGTGGCTGGGAGATTTAAGTGACTTTGACTTAATTAGCTGATACCTGGTGCCTGGCCCACAGTCTTGTCAAAACTGAATTTCCACTTTTTAAAATAGTCTCTGGGCAACACAATAGTTTATTATTTGTTCCATTTTTATCTTTTATTGTGGTGAAATATAAAAAACATTAAATTTACCGTCTTCTGGTGGTTTATTTTTAAAAGAAGGAGGGGAATCAAAGTGAATGATCCATTGGCTTCAGAGTGCTGTTTCAGCCTTTCTCTGAATTTTGAGAATTTTCAAAATAAAAATTGGGAGATAAGAGGTCTCCACCTGGGGCAGAGCTCTGAGCATTTTCTGGGTTCCTGGGCCAGCAAAATGTATGCAGGACTTGGTTCTCCCATTTTTGTGACCCCCCCAACCCTACCCAGTCCCACCTTCCAGAGCCAGCAAGAGGGCGGCGGGAGAAGCCCTTGCTCAGCCTGGCCCTGGGCAGGCCCTTCCTGTGCTGGCACCATCTCGTTCAGGCAGGGGGTCTTGGGAGCCCATTTTACATTTGTGCAAACCGAGCCCAGACAGAAGACGGGACTCAGCCATGGCCTCCCGGCAGGGAGGGGAGAAAACTCCAGATGTGCCTCCTAGCCCGTGCTCTCTCTCACTGTGGGTGGGTTGGGGTTCGTGTCAACCCCAGCTCTGCCGATCTTCGTTTCTGATCCTCCTGGCCTTGCCCCTCCTCCCCCTGTCCCATCCCGAATCTCTCCCTGTAGCCTGAGTAATGACCTTCTCATCTTTGGCAATGCCCCTGCCCTGGGCCCCCAGCCCAACTCCCTCCCTTCCGTGGGATCACATTTCCCAGGAGTCACTCCTAGAGATGGCCAAGTACCATGGGGGGAGGGGCAGTCCACAGACCCTGATTTGAGGCCCCCAAGTAGTTGGGACCCATTTGGGCCATGGCCAGGCCTAATCTCTCATCCCCAGAGCCTGGGCACTGTCCAGCTGGCAGCTAAGGGCCATCCATCGGCTTTACAGGAGGGCATCTCTGACAGGCCCCTTGTCTCTGTAGACAAGGCTTGGAAGCTGTGGGTCAGTGATAGCCACTGGGGACCTCAGCTCACTGTCTGGGTAGAGGGGATGGGGAGCGGGGAACGCAGCCAAGGCCCAGGGGAGCCTCGAGGTGGCCCAAGAACATTTTGGTCCTCACCTCTGGGTTCTGGCCCTGCCTCTGCCCCTCAGTCCAAACTCTCATAGTTCCAGGGCCAGGAATTTTGGAAGGAGCCGGCAGCTGGGATGTTTTTGCTTTAGGGTCACCACAATCCCCACAGAATTGAGGCTCGCCCATCAACCGACTTTTATGTGACTTGGGCGAGTCTCTCTACTCTGTTTCTTCTTCCACAGAATGTGAAGAATCACCTGAGCCTCTCAGGGACATAGAGGGTTGCTGTGAGATGAGATTTGTGAGCATTGGGCTCACTGTCTTTTTTTCCCAGGGGGACTGGCTCCCACTCTGTAGACAAAGTGGAGTCCCTTCCTTTCCCCCACACTCCTACCCACCTGGGTAACTAGGGTGGGCCCAGAACCAGCCCTGCCTCCCCTCTCGCCTGCCCCAACCCCTCTCCCACACAGCTGTCAGAGCGATCTCTCTAAATCTTTTATCCTTTCCTGTCCCTTCCCTGCTCAAAACCCTTCCATGGCTCCCTAGTGCCTCCAGGAGAAAGTCCAACCTTCCTCTCGTGGCTAACACGACCCACCCCTGCCCTCCCTCGTCCTCACTGTGTGTCCCCACCTCACCCTCCAGCTAGAGCACATATCTTTCTCTCCTCACCTCTAGGCCCTTGTGTGTGCTGTGTCCTCTGCTTAGGAAGAGGCAGGGGCACCCAGCCTCCAAGTCTTTGCTGGTTTATTTCTATTTATTCTTCAGGTCTCTAGGATGCTTTCCCTGTTCTCCCACCTTAAACTGGTTTAGGAACCTCCTGATCCCTGCAAATGCCAGGGGATTGTCTGCCTGCGCCTCCACCAGGCCAAGATCGACCGTCAGCACTTTGACTATCGTATGTTGAAGGAATGAAGGAAGGATCCAACAGACCTAGTCACACCCAGACAGATGCCTGTGACTCTAAGGGTTGTGTGTGAGTGTGTATTTGGGGAGTTGGTGAGGGGGGGCAGTGGGATGAGGACTCCAGTTGATGGGTCCTCGAGGCCTGACACCTGCACTGCTGCTAGTGGCTACCGGAGGGTGAAACAACTATTTAGTGTCAACGTCCAGCAGGACCCTCCTCAGCCAGTGAGGAAAGAGCGGCCCCCCACCTACCCCTACCTGTCCCCACCTATCACTGGGGCAGCTCCAGAAGCTGGAAGCAGCTGATGCTGATCTTGAACTGGGAGTCAGAACCCCCCCCTGCCCCCATTCCACATTCCAGGCACCTCTCTCCTACCAAACGGTGTAGGGACCTGAATAGGTCAATGTTCCTACCCTTGGCTTCAGTTTACCTGTGACACGCCCAGCCTGGAGCCTGGCACACAGCAGGTGCTCAATAAATACCTTAGAGGAAACCAACAACCAGAGAAGGGAAGTGACCTGTGGCCACATAGCAAATCCATGGCCCAGCCCAGGCCTTCTCGCCTTTTCTCACCCAGCCCATCCAACCCTCCTCTTTTTTCCAGGCTTAAGAATAGTTTTGCCTCCACCTGATGTGACTGAGTGACTGCTAGTGGTACAGGGTTTCTTTCTGGGGTGATGAAAATGTTCTAAAATTGATTGCAGTGATGGTTCCACAACTCTTTGAATGCACTGAAAACCATTGAGTTGCATACTTTAAATGAATTATGTGGTATGTGGGTTGTATCTCTTTTTTTTTTTTTTTTTAAAAGATGACTGGTAAGGGGATCTTAACCCTTGACTTGGT